CCACCCCCCCCCCTCTCAACCAACTCTACTCTACTACGACTACTTTTTTGTTTTGTTTCTTTTTGGTTTTGGTTTTGTTTTGTTTGTCCACCCTCCCTCCCAAATGTAAAGTGTCTTTGGGTTCAAGAAAAGTGCTATATAAATAAAATGTATTATTATTATTACATTGGAAAGTGTTGTTACAGGCTGAATGGCAACTGGACGTGATGAATACAATCTTTAAAGTGCACCCCGTCCTCTTGAAATGTACTTATTATGCTGTGTGGCCAGAAAATCTTGGTTAACAAACTTCCCCTGATCCATGATGAGAAGTTTAAACTCTGATAGCGATCTCTGTGGGAAATGAGGTAATGAAATTAAGTGATGGAGTACATTATTATCTGTTTTCATTACTGTGGTGCTGAATCGTGGAGCAAACCTCGCAGGGGAGCAATTGTCTCTGTTACTTCTTCATCATTTCCAATTCATGAAAACCCTCAGATTAATTTAGATTAATGCTGGAAGGCTTGTTTGCCAAGTGATGTCCCGCTGTCAAAGCTCATCAAAAAGTTTTCATTGCAGAGCTGTTCACACAACAGTAAAACGATGAATACATATCAGTGTTATAATATTCAGTTATACAGTGGCCACCAAAAAGAAAAGTCTACCCACAGGTTTCAAAAGTGTCTTGTGTTTGAGTCATTCAATTGCTGTCACTAAAATGTCAGATCTCACATCTTTTGGGGCAAAATGGGTTTGAAAGAACTACATATATTGAAAATCTGAAAACAGTGGTCTGTACGCAAAGTGGGTTTACAAGAAGTCATAGAGGGCAACACAGCACCTGTTTTGAAAGCTGAGACATTTCAATTTCAGAATGTAAACAGCTTGGGATTTACACTGCTAGGGTCATGCACTGCAAAAATCACCTCCTGGAGAGCAAAACAATGTCTGCACACATTACACTTTCACAAGAGGATTAAAAAAGGCTTCCACTTCATAATCTCAGCTGAGCATTAACTCAAGCCAGAGCCATAGAAATGTCAAAGCTCAGAGAACTATTGACTTGTTGTCTCTGCAAAGGCGAGGGATATTATTTACATGACATGCTCCCTGAAATAGTGATTCAGGTTCTTGTGTTCTGTTATTTTGTCTGAACTTCCAGTCACATGGGACCGAACAATTTGAACAAAAAAGTATGATCTCATTCAAATAGATTTTTCTTCTAACAATGCCTCTACATGTATTTATGAAGCGGACATTTGGCCACTTAAACACTGCCAATTTGTTGCGGGAATACAAAATGTAAGTCTCCAATTTGACGTTTGTCACCATCTTGTTTTTTGTGGGCAGCCAGAAGTTACCGTATCTGGATTAAAGGTCGATATCAGGAGGGAGGGAGAAGCATTCAACGTCTCCATCTTGATTGACAGGTCACAGTTGTAGCCACTTCTAGATCTCCAGGTAGCGTTCTGAAGCATTCCTTTCTTTATCATCTAAATCCTCAGAGTAGACATCATACTGCTTGGATTTCTAAAATATATAAAGCCATACAACCAAACCAAATTGTCAATTCTGTTGCGGGGGAATTATAAATGGACATTGCTTTGGCACCAAAGAAGATGTGTTATCCTCAAAACATAATTTCTAATGCAGATCAGATTTATGTGATTTCTACTTTTGTTGCAACAATTTTAGTGCCCTCGCTTTTGGTTTTAGCTTTCAAACTTCCTTCTTGCACTTGTTTGCAGCAATGTCATAGTATTTCATTTGTCATAACCCATGTCCATGAGACCAACCTTTAGAAAACAGAAATCCTTTATTCATCCCACAGCGGGGAAACAAACTACAATGTGGGGGAAACTTCTGATGCAATTGGAGTCAGGACTCAAAGAGAGACACGATGGAGAGCTGGAGCTTTGATGTCAAACACTGACGGTTTATTTGGGCTTCCCCTCGGCGGAGAATTTCACCACGACATGTCTACGGGTCTACGATCGGACCACCACGGTTGAGATGCCACAATCAATTCTGAGAACCTCTTTCGTAGCTCGAGGTTTTTAACTAGTTCGGAGTGTAATAATCAACCATTCTTCTCAGCGAGACATAAACCAAATATGGACCCTGAATCTAATTAGAGCTGTCGTCTATAGAAAGAATGTGCGCCAGGGAACCTACGTTCCAGAAGAAAAGAAGGGCCTCTAGATGTCCCTGAACAATAAACCCAATGGCGGCTGTGCTCGGTCATGACGGCAACAGCCATGCGCCCAGCTCCCTTCTTAAAGGTGAATGCACTTTTGTACGTCTTTTATACATGAACATGTGTCCCCGGGTCCAGGGAACTCACCACAGTGTCAGGAAAGTGACACCCTCTCTATTTTCCTCCATACCCAAATCTCTTAAAAAGGGGCTGCAACGGATCTGATACAGACTGATCCAGATTTGAAACACTTCTGTGACGTCACAGAAGTGGCGCTACGGCCTATTGGCCAACTCCACCAATCAGGAGGAGACAGCCACGGACATTGCCGTTCCAAAGCGCTGGAGACGCTGTGTACCTATGCCAGGCCTGATTAGGATGGTTGCTGTTCTCACAGAAATCAGCCCATGCAAAGGACAGTTGTTAAATTGACGCGAAATGAGGAATGGCTAAAATGCATGATCTGTTTGGTATTTTGAAAAAATAAAAAGTATTAATATATGCCTGTATATAGGTAATGGTCCTACACTATATTATTCAAATATAGCATGATAGGTCCACTTTAAGAGAGATGCAGCATATACCCAAGGCCGTTAGAACTATGCCGTGGTGAAAGAGACAGTAAAGAGAGGAAAAAACATGAACTGGGTCGAAGGTTGAATACCTAAGCAAATTATCCAAACAATACAGGTTCTTTTCTATCATTGAAGGGTCACATTTAAAGAAAGATTGGGGACAGGTAAACTATAGATCCCAATATTCCGAACCACAAGTTATTCCGAAAAGTTTGGGTTCTTCCATCTTGAAGTCCAGAGTACAAACTACAGTATCCATCTACAGTCTCCTTTAGCCTCGTCCTCTAATGCACTCCCAAAATCACAT